TTCATCGGAACTTTCATCGCAGCACCGCCGTATTGTTTCTTCAAGAAGTTCACCAGTGTCGCAGAAGCAACGTACTTTCCTTTCGGATGCGAGGGAACGCGCCCCACCTTGCTAGCTCCGATATGTCGAGTAGGATGGCAGCACCACACTTTCCCTTTGGTCATCTGGAGTTCAACACCGAAAAGTTAAAAACGCGATGCGAAACACTAAACGGAACGAACAAAGCACAATAATGGCTCTTAAGCCAGCCACCGAACTCTCTTCTTCATTGATCGAAGAGAACAGCCAATCACAACGCGTCGATCTTTTGCTTGTCGCTGATGTGACAGACGGCGTTCACTTGCAGTCAACATTCAGTTGTAGACCGCCATATGCACGCAATCATATTTCGATTAAAATAATTGTATTTTCTTACGTTAACATTGGAAGGGCCAAGGGCGGGAGTAAATGCTGAAAAAGTAAAATTTACTAATGTAGAGGTGGAATTGACTAGTTGTTAATGCAAGATCGATTGAAGAAAGCACGATAGTTCCGTAAATCCGACAGAGATTCTCTCTTAATCTTATTGCCTATCTTCACTGAGAATTTCAAGGCATTTCATTGAATTATCGTTGAGAAAATCTCGGATGACGAGTAGAATCGAACTCGCGACGTCGGCGAAAATCTTTCGAGCTCTGCCAAGAACCCAAATCGAAACCGGGCGGAATGTCTTCTATGCCAAAAGATAGAGGAAGTGACGCTCTACAAAACCTGCTATGTCACCACTCAGCCAAATTGGGCAAGGTCGAGCTATGGTCGAAGGAACATAAAATACGCTTATTTACTAATTTGCTTCTAGTAACCTTACTAGAGGAAGCTGAATGATTTTGTATCTACCTACATCGATAGAGCAGATCACGAGCTTTCAGAATATGGGTATACTGTTAACCTTCGGATGTAATATGAAGGAGAAAATGCGCATACACTGTTCACGATTCGTTCAAAATTTCGCATTTTTCGCACCGGCCGTTCTAACTTGCATCAATCAAAACTACACTTAGACAAATAGAAACCTAGTATAATTTTATACCAAAATGATCAGCTCAATGAGCTCTACAACCTCTGAAAGTTTCGGGTAATTCTGAGAGGGTCGACGTAAATGTGGTAGGTTTCCCATGGATTTACTCTGTACGTGTAATCATAACTCCAACTAATTTAAGTTATTTTTCGAAATCCTGGAGATACAATCAAATCTTTACTTAGATGTAAAGTACACAACTTAGGCATCATGCTCATGTGTTTACCTCGACAGTCATTTTGTCAGAAGTCATGTTTTACTTGAATATTATTATGAAACTGAAACGGTAAGAAAAGAAAATAAGTTTGTGTTCGATTGTATGAATAATCAATAGAACAACCATATGAAAAGCTTTTCATAAAGTACAGAGAGCGGTATACAATGACATCATGGACAAATATTATACTTTTTCAAAAACTCTAGAGGAGCTCAGTCCCAGCATTGTTGTATTATAACAACACGTTCAAAACTGTGTTTCTTCAACAAGTTACATTTATTCAATTGAAATTTGCTGCCTTTCACTTTCTCTTCTGTTATTCATATTTTACTATGATCAATAATGTAATTACATAGAAAAAAGCTCCTGAAAGTTTCTTTTTGATTATTTGTTAAAAAGAAAGCGATGTGAACAGAACTCATCAAAGTAGCTAGGGAGGGTTATCATAATTATTTGATTGTCAACAACGTTTTGCACGTTTTTCAAAAGTTTACTTCTTTATTTTCCCAACTTCAACGACATAACTCAACTCAGTTTTAATTATAGCAAAACGTTCCGTAGTGGAACCTCTATATACTGAACACATGAGCAAAAAAGTATTGAACATACAAACGTAAGAACCGAAGATAAAATGGTATTGTTGCATTGAAGTAATGCTATCAAAGCTCACTAACTAGCTAATTATTACCGAAGTCGGAAAATCCGGCGCGAAACTGGCGGGCTCCAGAACATTTCGCCTATTTCAGGGAAGGAGGATTCCAACCAAGAATCTAATATGTCGTATTCTTTAAGAAACGAACAGATCCGACAGCAGTATTCCAACGATACAGAACTCAAATTATTCGTCATCTTAACCCTTAAGAAACGCTTTGATACCCAAAAACATAGAATTAAACCGCTCATGGTGTTCAAGGAACTAGCTCAAGTACAGAACAGCGCTCTTGACTCACCTGTGGTTTGGATATTTGAGTTGATTCAAATGAGATTTTAATAATATTGAAGGTCCTCGCTGGAAATTATGGGAAACCGGTGATATTAGGTTGTTAACAAAGTTTTTGCTTCATGAATTCCGTCTGGGCCACAAAGCGAAGGAAGCAACCAGCAACGTATGCAGCACGACGGGGGAAGATATAATCTCTACCCGCACAGCATAACATTGGTTCAATCGGTTTAAGAACGGGAACTTAGAACTCGACGATATACCTAGTCCCGATAGACCATTGGAGGTAGATGTAAATCTCATGATGCAGCTTATCGAGCAAGATCGTCGATTAACTCTACGGTGCTTAGTAAAACAATCTGTTGGTCTTTGACTAGAAAATAAAAATAAGCAAGATTTCAGTTAGAAACTGTATTCCAATTTGTTAAAAAAATCAGCGTGATTGTGTGTCCTTATCGCTCAAAGCATTTGAGTTTAGATATTACCACTCAATAAAATGTTGTCAAGCACGTTCTCAAAATTATTCAATTGTTTGTTTTTGATAAAAGAATGTCGTTTTTTGCTCTATATTTTTGTAATATGTCCTCTAGTTCAAATCAGAGGTGTATCCCCCGACCATAACATATTATTCATTCTCGCTTCTTTTTCCAAAAGATGAGTTAATAATTAGTTTAACAGCAGATTTAAATTTCATTCTAATTCTTATTTATTTGATTAATGTTAAGCTTTTCGAAACATTTCGTTTCATCGTCAGACAAGATTGAATTAACAAAGAATACATAAACACATACATATATACGCAGAAGACATTTTACAAAGGTAAAGACCTCCAAACAGAGTGGAAATTTGCTTTCGAATAAATTTATTCAAAAGCAAAGTTCCATTCTATTTGGAGGTCTTTACCTTTGTAAAATGTCTTCTGCNNNATTTGGAGGTCTTTACCTTTGTAAAATGTCTTCTGCGTATATATGTATGTGTTTATGTATTCTTTGTTAATTCGATCTTGTCTGACGATGAAACGAAATGTTTCGAAAAGCTTAACATTAATCAAATAAATAAGAATTAGAATGAAATTTAAATCTGCTGTTAAACTAATTATTAACTTATTAAAATTATTGCCTGTAAACTTTATGAATTATTCAGTTTTTACTTGCTGCGCGACAGAGGATGGTGTTTTTTTAAAATAAAAAAATGAGCGTTTTTTAGGGTTACTATTTTCATTGTATATGTTATTTGAATTCGCTGGTGTTTGTGGATCTGTTTTGGTGACAGGAGTTGTGGTTGCTTCTATCGATTTGATATCAGAACTAGCTGCATTATCATCTAGAAGACTGTTTATGCAATTCCATAAATGTATGCTGGATTCCTTTCGCAAGGGACCGAAAACCTTCTCAAAACGACCGCCACGTCCAAAACATGTGCCTAAAATTTGTTGAAACACCATATTATTTCGCGTAAAATGTGCTTCATTTGCTTTAGCCCACTGATTCATATCAAATTCGTTCTCACAACCGGTGACAACACAAATCTTAGGTGTGTCGGGCATGATCGATGCTATCAATACATACATGTCTCGATCATTAGAATGAATCGTACCACTACGTGTTACAAAGATGATCAGATCTATTTGACATTTTTTAAATTCTAATAAAGAGTACAGAAGATTAACCTTGTAATCTTCGTCCTCTTTGCTTTTGATCGCTTCTGCAAGACCAGCCATTTCGATGAAACAGTATTGATGCTTTTCTCTTTCCAACAATATTCTATTTTCAGGTTGATGAAACACATCTTCATTCAAAGGCTTGTTTGTATTACTTTCTTCCGCTAATCCTTGAATAACGCTCGTTTTACCAACCGTATTTATTCCCACTACAAGAATTTGTTTTGCCATTCTATTGCGAGGAAGCTTGGATATTTGCACGGCATATAAAGTGTGTATTGAATGTTATCAGCACAACAAATACACTTGTTTGCGCAAATGATTCATTGTGTGAAAACAAAAAAAGTTTACCTTCATGAAATTTTCCAACTTTGCGTTTGTCTTTCTAGGTAATAACCAACATGAATATAAATATTTAAAGCAAACTACAGTTGATTCATATTTTGAAAGTAATTTCTGTGCGGACAAGAAAGAAAATAATATGTCATCTTCAAGACGCATCGTGGTATTCGGAAGCTCTAATGTAGGTAAGACAAGTATGTTGAATGCACTTACGAATAGTAGTTATAAAACATCAAATGCTGCCATTGGAACTACATTCGAAACTGTAAAGCTATCTTTGTATGAACGAAATCATATTTCCTATGAATTTTTTGACACTGCTGGTCTTAATGAGGCTACAAATGGCTTAGTTGACCCAGCCGCCGCCTGTGACAATATCTTGAAGCTGATTGAAGAATGTACAGAAGGCTTTAATCTACTTATCTTAGTTGTTCGAATTGGCGCTATCTTAGAATCAGATAAAACGAACTATGAAATGTTTGCCTCTAATTTGACAAATAAAAAAATACCAGTATTGTGCGTTATAACTGGATGTGAAAATGTAGAACCTGCAATGATGGATTACGTTAAAGATAACAGTAAACATTTTTCAGATAGAGAAATGATCTTCAATCAAATTCTGGCAACATGTTTTGCACAAGGCGGACGACTAGAAGAATATTATCGTCCATTAAGAGAAAATTCTTCGAATGAAGTCTGGACAGCAATCGAAAAAGCAGCGAGCTGTCAATCAATCATTACTCTGACAAAGGAAACTGGCTCAATTAAGAAAACCTATATTAAAATGTGGAATGCCTTTTGCCGTTTTGTAAAACGTTCATCATGGCAAATAGAACTTCCATATTGTCAGAACATCTACGAAATGCTTGATCGAATGGGTATTAAAGACGAAACAAAGAAAAAGAATATCTCAACAAGATTTATGCAAGTAATGAATTGAACATAATCAAAAGTAGTGCTACTACCTATTATGTATTATAAAAACAGCTAAAAGTTTCTCTTTTTTTATAATGTAATACTCTTCATTGAAAATAAAAATTGATTTTAGTCATAATCAAAGAGGATTTCATGCACCTAAATAAAGTGGTAATGTGTAAAAAGCCAGTAAGAAAAAAAACTACAAAAAATAAATATCGTAAAAAGTAAAGATCGAAAAAAAAGAGTGACGGCGAAGATGTCATTATCTTCTTCATTCACCCACAACCTCATTGGCCACACACACCCGCAGGATACGGTGACATCTTTCAAGATTGTTTTTCGAGATTCTTATAGCAATTCAAATGAAAGAGAACTTGATACTTATGATTGACGCTGTACAGATCGATTACGTTATTTGTGACAGTTTTTTGTGATTTATTGTACAAAAACGAAAGAACAAACCTTTTTTATTTTGCTAAACTTTGATAGAGCATTGAATATTCTATCGGAATACTTTATTTGAGTTTTATCTCTAATATGAAAAATTTTGAAGTTCGAAAAATGATACTAAAATAATCGTTTGCACTTAATTCTAATGACGTAACCAGAAATTGTCTGAGAATATCGATCTTATTTGAAAAAAAAATCAGATTCAGAGAATATAGTTTGAATTAATTAATTCAAATTTTTCTTTTCATCTATGAAATGATCTCAAAGAAACAAGAAATCTTATATTAATAAACATGATGAGCCATGATAATAGAATAAATTTTCTTATTTAATTAGTTATCAGTATAATATGCACAAAAATGCATCTAATTAACTGAAGTACTTTGTGAATAGAAGACTTTTTGAATGAAACTTTCTTGAAAAAATAATTGATCTTCGAAAACGTGTTTTTTTCTATGTTTGAACAAATTAACCCATTCACCACGATGGGGTCCACCGGTGGACCCCACTTTGCATTTCATATTCTAATCTTGAAACACGTTTAATAAGAAAACGGTATAAACCATAAGACGCAGCGCGAAAAGCTC